TTGTTTCATAATAGGGCTGTGTACATTGGATATTTTTTTTTCCATTCTTGTGATACTTTGCTAAGAAGAACATTTTCCAGCTCCATCCATATAAACATGAAGGAGGTAAAGTCTCCATCTTTCTTTATGGCTGCATAGTATTCCATGGTGTACGTATACCACAGTTTATTGAGCCATTCGTGGATCAGTTTTTTGTAGATTTTTAACATAATCATTCTGTCTAGCTGTTTATCCTAAGCGTTGCACTATTTTAACAATTGAAACTTTGCAGTGGATTTTAATGGCAAATCTCTTCATTATTGTGTTATTGTTGTTTTGGAGAATTTGCCCAGCAATTTGTCAGTGTTTATTCTACCCTGGATTTTTTTTTTTAATCAGTTGGCCCCTAAATATAATTGATATTTGTTTGAAATGCACTAAATTTACATTTCACTATGCTGGCCACTGATTCTCTCAAAATATTCGGTGTTATCTTCAAAAACAAATTGCCTTAAAGTTTCTTAGGAAATTTATATTTATAGTTCTTCGTGCAGTTTTCATATATTTCAAGTTTATTCAAGTACTTTCCTGTTTTTCTTTCTGCTGTGAGTATGTATAATGCTTTTTAATTTTTAAGTTCTAACATATGTACGTTAGGATTATTTTTTATGATATTTTATCTTAAATACTTACCTTAGTGATTCATCAAATATTTTCAAAATCCTCATTTTTTTTCTGGTAGAGAATTGTATAATAGACAAGAATGAAAATATGGTTTATACTTTTCAGCTTTTTTCATTCTTTTCTATGTCTTGTGATATTTTTAAAACCTCCATTAAATTATAGAATATAAATAATTCTTGCTTTATCCTTTATTTTGCTGGAGATATTTTTGCCATTTGCCATATAGATTTTCTTTCTCATGATGATATATTATTCTGTTCCTAGGGTACTTATGTGTGTTTAAATAATTCAATAATGGCTCCTGACTTTTTAGCAAATAATTTTTGCCATTTATCACAATAATACTCTTTCTTCCCTTAGTCTCTTAATATGATATATTATATTACTTTATTCTCAGTCAAGCCACCTTGCATGGCGGGTAAAAAAAAAAAACTCACATAGTTATAATGGAGAGTTATCATACTACTAATATGTGGTTTTATTAATATTTGATTGAAGTTTTTACATTTATATTCATACATAAGAGTTAACTCTTTTAAATGTTATTGATTTTCTGATTACCTTGCAAATTACAACTTTCAGCTCTTTTTAAAAAACCTACTTATTTTATACTCAATACCAGTCCCACGATGAGATAGATGCAGGCTTGGTGAAATAAATTGGAGATTCAAAAACAATTTTTTTTCTCTTCTTTCAAACAGTTCAAATAGTCTAGAAATTTCTTCCCTGAAGTTTTAAAGTAATACCAGCTAGATCAAATTTATGTGGAGTCATTCTTAGATAACTTCTGGTCTCTTAAAGGATGGTTTCCATTGCTTATAATCTTTCTTTCCTATCATTAAATATCATTGGTCTTTTCCACTGACATTTGTGTGGCAGAGTAATTAAGTTTAAAATGTGAAATTTCAGTGTTTCCTTGTGTCAGAATTCCATGCACCTTGTGTATAGGGAGAAAATACTGAACCCACTTTCCCGGGTGTGTGTGTTCTTTTAAGGATTGCACCAGTGTTTGCTGTGAAGCCGCCACGTGTAGACTGAAGTCGGGAGCAGGCTGTGGAAATACTCCCAACAATATCACGTAAGCCCTTTGTTTTGTTTTGTTTTGTTTTCCCAGAGCATTCGCTCAGTTTTATTTCAGATTTGAGAAACTGCACCATCAAGTTCTGTAATACACTAAAACAGAATTTATGTTTTATAAACAACTGGTTTATTGGAGAGGAAAACAAAGCAACCAACCATTAGGAATATAACTAAAGTGTACGAACATGTAAGAGAAGTGGCTACTTTGACATCTAAGAGATGCCGAAATTAGTGCTAAAAATTGTGTCGATTCCTGTTCCTAGAGTTTAATACAAACTAGGATGAAGATAAAGATGGTAACAACAACAAAAGCAAAAAACTGAGTGGAAAGACTCAGGATATGTTATCCGGAAGGAGTTAGTCTTTGTGGCCTCCCTCTCCCCACCTTTTCAGAATCCTTTCTGGAATTGATACTGTAGAGACACCATAAAGATTCCTGTTACTATTGCTGAGTTTAGTACAAACTAGAATGAAAAATGCATTTTAAAATAGCCTCAGTTGATAAACACATTGTATGCTTGGTTAAGAGCCAATAGTTGGACGGTGCCTGTGGCTCAAAGGAGTAGGGCGCTGGCCCCATATGCCGGAGGTGGCGGGTTCAAACCCAGCCCCGGGCCAAAAAAACTGCAAAAAGAAAAAAAAAACTATAAAAAAATGTAATAATAATTATAAAAAAAAGTGCCAATAGTTGTAATTTGCAAGGTAATCAGAAAATCAATAACATTTAAAAATGTGCCATAAGGTTTTGGCAATTTTATTTCTTTGAAGTTGTCTCATTGAGTCATATTATTTTGTGTCTCATGCAATCCTGTACGAGTTGGGCTAGAAAACTCAGTTGCATAGAATGTGGTATTTGTTCCAGTCGAAAATAGTTTCTGAATATAAAAATGGCAACAACAACAAAAAAATCAAAAATGAGGGGAAAGACTCAGGATGCCTTATCTGGGAGGAGTTATTCTTTTTCTTTAGAGACAGAGTCACACTTTGTCACCCTGTCATTCATTGAGCCACAGGGGCCACCCTGGAAGGAGTTATTCTTCACCCACCTCCCCATTCTTTCTGAATCTTTTCTAGAATTGACGCTTAAGAGACAGTATAAAGAAAAAATTGGGCTGGGCACGGTGGCTTACACATGTACTCTTAGCACTCTGGGAGGCATAGATGGTTATTGCCTGAGCTCAGGAGTTCAAGACCAGCTTGAGCAAGAACAAGACCTCTGTCTGTATTAACAATAGAAAAACTAGCCAGACATTGTGACAGGGGCCTGTAGTTCAGCTACTTGAGAGACTGAGGCAAGAGGATCCCTTGAGCCCAAGGTTTGAGGTTGCTGTGAGCTATGACTCCATGGTTACCTGGGCAATACAGTGATATTCTGCCTCAGGAAAAAGAAAAAAATTGACTCAAACACCATCCACTCTTAGTTTCTCAGAAAAGAACCTCCAAGGTCAAAGATAAGGACTATCCCTTGGTTATTTACCAAGCACCACTGATCAGCCTGTTGGAATCTTGATATGAATCCACACTGCAGAAATTCCGGAAGGGGTACCCAGCCGGAAGCATAGTTATCTGAAAAGAAAAACATCCATTCAGCTCTTTAATGGGTTAGAATGATAGGTGGACATGCCCCCTGCTGTTCAATAAAATCTAACACAGAATCATGGAGAGAAAATTGGACACAGATTCAGGGAACTTAAATTCTAGTCTTTTCTGCCAAAAAGTAGCTGTGGTACTTTAACTTCCTTAATTAGTTTTCTCACTTATAAAAAATGCAGCGAATTATATTGTCTCTTGCTAAGATTATTAGTATTATTTAATTCCAATGAATTTTCATTATCATTATTACATTATATTCTATAATTTATAATCATGGCGTCTAAACATTTTTTCTTCTTTTAACCAGAATGTGAACCAGAAAGTCTACTTCATTGAGACGCTACCTTGCTGGGACAAGAACCAAGAACCTTAATCATGCCAGGAATCTTGTGTATTTTAACTTGTACTTTCTATAGCTTTCCCAGTGCAGCCAACAGGTAAATAGACGTACTTAGAGAAGTTGCTTGTGTGCTGAAGCCTCATCTTTCATGTATTTTTCAAGATCAGAAAGCTGAGGCTTCGTTCTGCTCTTTGGAGAACAAATGATGTTAACTTTTGACCAAAAAATCCTCAAAATTCTCTGCTGAATTAGAGTCAGTCAAGAATTGTAAAATTCAAGTGACTTGTACTTCAAGCCCTCTTTCATTTCTCTGATGTAGCCTAAGAAAAAAATGCGAGCATCTGGTGGGTAAAAACTTATCAGCAGAAAGGACAGAGGGTTCAGGTTTCACATCCTGCTCCATGTTCACTCTGCTCCACTCTTATGAGCGTGGTACTTTACTATATCGTGTCAAGAATAATTAAACGTGAACATTTTTCATTTTCAAGTGTGTAATGCTATGCCATACTCATCTCTTCCATTATCACATGTAACGGTCTATCTTGAGAGACCTACACTGCTCACATTTTCATTAAGCCAGAAAGAAAGGCTTTCATTCATCTGTGGATCTGATAAACCATCACGCCAATAAAAACACAACTTTTTGTGCGATCATTTTCTTTTTTTCTTTCTTTTCTTTTTCTGTATTTGTTTTCAGTTTTGGCCAGGGCCAGGTTTGAACCTGCCACACCCCTGGTATATATAGCCGGTGCCCTACTCCTTGAGCCACAGGCGCCGCCCCCTGTGTGATCATTTTCAAAGAATGGATATTTTCAAGTTGCATCATAGGTTCGTATTAGGTGTTGGAACCTCACGTAATTAGAAAGACGAGGCTTCTTCCTGAAGTTTCTTTATCTAAATTTGTTTTTTGTTTGTTTTTGCAGGTTTTTTTTTTTTTTTTGGCCGGGTTTGAACCTGCCACCTCCCGTATATGGGGCCAGTGCCCTACTCCTTGAGCCACAGGCGCCACCCTATCTAAATATGTTTTAACAGTTAGTCAAAAGAAGTGAACTACTCAAACATCCATACAGACCTGTGCTGGGAGTGTAAAACCTTAGATATATTCCTCAACAGGGGTCTGTCTACTGGGAAGCCCTGCTGGTTAGCAATGGTGTCTTCCCGTTCATGACCTCCCTGTCTCTGATGGGCTGACACTGACAGGTGTCCAGGTGAAGCTTCTGGCCAGGACATGTCTTGCCAGAATCTCTACTGCTCATCCATCTCATACAAACTTCCAGCCCATTCTTCAAAGGAAATTAAAAAAAAAAAAAAAGGTTTCTTTTTTTGTTATTGTTCTTTAAAAATATATATATATACATATATGTATGTATATATATACGTATGTGTGTTTATACATATATATATATACACACACACACATATATATGTGGCAGCCAATACCAATACAGCCTATAGCTAGGAGGAGTGAGAGTTATAAGAAATCCTGTATAGCTCATAATGGAACACCTTGGTGAAAAGGGCATAGAGAAGGATTTAGCTCTCCTAACAAGCATGAGAGCTCACAAAATGAGAGCAGTGGTGAACTGGCAGTCTCTTAGGCTGGAGGAGAAGGTAGTTCGGAGCATGCATGTTCTATCACGGACCCGTTTACTCTGACTCTGTCTCCTCTCCTGCCTGCAGAACGCCAGCACGGTGTCTCTCTGCTGAAGATTACCAAGCTCTGCTAAAGACTAAGATTTAAGTATTCTAAGACTGCTTTATTCTGTCTTAGAGAGAATACTCTCACTCTTCTCTGTCTCTCTCTCTCTCTCTCCAGCTGAAGTAGATAGCCTTCAGGCACCTAAGGACCTTAGCAGTCTGTGCCTGGAACCTTCTTAAGCCAGGCCCGAGACCTGGCCAGTCCTGAGCCCTGTCATTCATATATATATATATATTTCCCCCCCCCCAAGAATGTTACAGGGATACATAACTTTTGGTTACATAATTTGCTTTTGTACATTTCAGATCCAAGTTGTAAGTGTGTCCTTCATGCCGCATGTGTGCATTGAACCCACTAGGCGTGAATGAACCACTCCCCCACCACTTACTCCATCCCCATTGAGTTTTACTTCCATAAGTACACATAAATGTTGATCAACTAGTCCCTATTTAGTATGGAGTACATATGATGTTTGCTTTTCCATTCTTGTAATACTTCACTTAGAAAGGTCTCCAGTTCCACCCAGGTTGTCATAAAAGACACTAGCCATTTTTTAGATGACCATTAGATGACCATTTTTCAGGGCTGAGTAGTAGTCCTCCATGGTGGGCAGATACCACATTTTATTAATACATTCATTGACGGGCATTTGGGTTGTGTCCACATCTTTGCAATTGTAAATTGTGCTGCTATAAACATTCAAGTGCAAGTGTCTTTATGATAAAATGCCCTTTTGTCCTGTGAGTCAATGTCTAGTAGGGGAATTGTGGCATCAAATGGCAGGTCTAGTTTTAGTCTGTCAGGTAACCCCATATGACTTTCTATAAGGGTTGCGCTAGAGTGCAGTCTCACCAGCAGCGTGTAAGGGTTCCTTTCTCTTTGCATCAATGCAAACACTCATTTGGGGATTTTTTTCATAGATGCCATTCTCACTGGAGTTAAGAGCTATCTCATTGTGGTTTTGATTTGCACTTCTCTAACATGTTGACCATGTTTTCATGTATTTGGCATCTTCACTTGAAAAGTTTCCGCTTAAAAGCACTCCCAGCAACAACAAAGATAAGCAAACAGGACCTGATAAGATCAATAAATAGTCCACAAAATGAGAGAAAATATTTGCATGCTATATATCTGTAAAGGGCTCATTACCAGAATCTAAAAAAAACTTAAGCAAATCAGCAAGAAAAAAAAAAAATCAAACAACCCCTTTAAAAAGTGGGCAAAAGACAAGGACAAAAAATATTTTTTATTTCAAAATATTGAGGGGGTACAGATTTTTTTATACATGGCTTGAGTCGGGGATATACGTGTGTCCATCACTGGTTCATTGCTCCATCAATGGCTTTTTGCCTGTCCCCTTCTCTTCCCTGTCCCCTGCTTGATCGATAATGACTTTTACTTTCCTCTGTGTTCTTGTGTGCACTTCGGTTAGTTCCAGTTCAGTAGAGAACACATGTGGTGTTTGTTTTTGCATTCTTGAGATACTTCACTTAGGATAATAGTCTTCAGTTCCTTCCGAATTGATGCTAAATCATCCTTGAAGAAAAGGTTTCTTGAGGCATCCTTTTGCCTGAACCTTCTCTCCGGTAGAAGGTTCTTATAGTAAAACTATTTAAGTTGCAAATATTAAAGCCAGTGGCATGCTGGAGATGGGCAGGGGGTCGTGAGGAGGGGCTCATTAGTATCGGTTGTTAAATATTAAGGAATATTGTGAACTGGGTATTAAACACAGCTGTTGCTGAAACCCAACTTGTATAAATTTACAATGGAATAAATTATATTAAAGAGCAGGAAATATTCAAAACATACGACTTCCTAACTATCATACTATACTTTATTGAGCTATGCTGTCTGGTTATTTAAGTCTATCATAACTGTGTATCTGAGTCCCAAGTTCTTTCCTAATTATTTAGCATATTTTATAAATTTTCATTTTGTGAATGATTCTTTGTTTATCTCGAAAAGATTCGCTTCTTCAGAAAACTGACTTAAAGCTTTAGGTGATTTTTAAAGGCTGTTTGTAATTAACATACCCCCAAATAACTAATTTAAATAAAATATTTCCTATAGAATTTACCAGAAGCCATGGAATTATTCAGAAAAAAGTGAGCCATTGCTGTGATAAAGAATTAAGTGCTATTTTTGTAAACCTGCAGATGGTTGCTGTGTGGTTAGACCAAACATCTGGATGGTTTGCGTTTGCTACTTAGCAATGTGCATACAGATTAACAGTTAGATGTGAAGTGCTTTTAACATCTGGCAATTACTTTTCAGAGGCATAATTCTGTTTCCAACCAAAGCAGAAACAAAACACCATCATAAATCTGTTCAATGCATAAATTTCTCAGAGTATTTTCACATTTTTAAATCTAGTTTGCTTCTTAATGAAATCGGTAAGAGACATGCATGGCAGATATTATTTTTATCTTATTGGGGGAGAATGTGCCACAGAGATTGTGAAGTGATAAATCCAATATGCTACAGAAAACAGCAAACATAGAACCCGAAGTCAAATCCAGAGTCCAAACCCCAGGAATTCCATCATTTTATTCTCCCTTCTAATGGGATTATCTCTTAAAATGAATGAACACCACATGTTAAAGTATTCAGATAGCACTTTTCATTTATGGATACTTACAATGTATCACAAATCCTAAAAGAACATAGGATGATGTTGAAAACTGCACGTGGGCTTCAAGTACAAACCCTAAAATGATGCTCAGAGATTCACTTTCTAGACACTGATTACCCCTGGACCAAATTGCCCTATGCCAGGAATTCACTATTAAAGTGAAAACTATTCAGCCTTGTAAATTTGCCAATTGCATAAATCGTCTTTTTAGCGTTTCACATAAATTAGAAAAGATAAAATAACAGCATGTAAAATATTTCTGTGCAGAGGACGGTGATTCCTTATAGTTTTTCATCCATGAAGACATGAACAGGAAGGTAGACAGGGAAAGAGCAAGATGTACTGAGGAACTGGAAAGACTTTCAGCTAATTTTGCGAGAAAGGAGGGGAGAAAGGCTGGTTACTGCTCGTGTTTCTTCTGATCACTGTATTCCCTCGAGTAGGAAAGGCATTTAGAATGAACAGTGGAGGCAGTGCTACTCAGACAACCCCCCAACTTCTCTGCAGTGCTGAAGGGCACCCAGGTGCTTAGTGCTTAGAGTTAAGCTGGTTCCTGGGCTTCTCTGGAAGCTTTCATATCATCAACAACTGATGAAGAGAAAAAGTAGATCCTAATTGGTCTTAAGGCCATACCATTATTATTTTTTAATTACTTTATTTCTTTTTATTGTTTGGGATTCATTGAGGGTACAAAAAA